GGGTAAGAGAACCGGGATCATATTATACATGTGTATATAGACATATAAAAGGTATATATGTACTTCAAATATAAAAATACATATATATATATGTAACAGTACGATCACAGTGTCACTTGGAAATATGACATGTTGCGTGGGCAACTGAAACACAACAAGCCGACGGCTAGGATGGATTCTGTGCACATGAGAACCAGGAAAACAGAGGTGGCCCCAAATACCCATCTCCCCAAGTGCATCTCAGGGATGGGAGCCTGGGATGAAGAGCTTCGGCAGTTTCCTGGCCTAAAACCGCAATCCGAGAACCAAACTAAGGTGAACACATCCCGCCACACACGGAGTTCATCTAGTCTTCTGAAGATGGCAGGAAAGCCATATCAAGCCGACCACTCAAACAGTCTTCACACAACGGCCAGCTTCAGGACAAGCTCTACCGTACTACATAGCCTCGGCTCCGGTAAGCACTTGCTAGGAACAGGTTTGGCTGCTCTCGATCTGAGAGCCCTCTCTCGGCATCCGACGGGAGCTCAGATTTCGGGCAATATTGGCTTTGTGTTACACAACTTCCAAAGCCCATTCTGGAATCCGCAACCCAGAGGTCAGCCAAGAGCAAGCCTCTCAGGGCTGCTCTCAAGAACCTCCCTCGCCACCTCGCATGCGGCGCATGTCTAAGACTTCTAACAAAATATGCAAACTTCCTACACTTTCCAGCACACGGCACCGTCCACACGCACTGCTAGCGGTTGCGAGGCCAAGGTTTTAAACAGGTCTGCAGGAGGATCAAGAATCGCAGCGGAGGAATGATGAGACTGAGGCTTTTGAGATGAATGCTTGCCGATCATAGCCACGCCTAGTATGCGACACCCCATTGACTCCATTGACTCACGGCACCTCGACGAAGCCAGACCTCGAGGCCAGATGAAGGGGCGTAAGATCCTGGGCTCGTAGGGAGCAGAAAAGAAAGACCTGGGGACATCTGATCTCCGTATCGTTATGGCAATTTCCACAGGTAACATCGGGCAAATAGTGCGTTTCTTTGCCGGGCTCTCGCGGCAAGAGCCCACGAGACTGACTAGAGTGGGGATGCTTTTCGAAATGCTGATTTTGATATTATGTCAAATTATATCTCTTTATAGTGTAGGGATGCAATGTTGCTGAATACCTCGACCTGAACGGCTCTGCAGGGACCGTGCCAAAGCATCTTCACTTGACTGCATTTTGATGCCCGATCGAAATCGGCGGTCGCAGTTGATTGTACAATGAAGCGACGACATGACGACTTCATCAGCACACATCAGACAGTTGTGGCATGCATCGGCTAAACACAGCTAGAGACTACTTGGGGACTCGTCTCAAATAAGCTAACAATTACCCTTGTCTGTTGTCATTCCTTCTGGAGCTGGGGTGCTTCGCCATTCCGTGCCATACAGTCGGCGCGGGCACGAATCAGCACCTGACAAAGAGCACAGGACTAGGCAGCTTCTGTTTTTTGGGATCCTGCATCGCAAGCCATGGGCAGGTTCTGATCTGTGCTCCCACAGTCGGACAAGCCAAATGAGCTTCTCGGTTCGCAACAAGGATCCTTTCAGGGTACACCTTCCGTCCCTATGAGATTGACCAAATCGGCTACCTCGAAGGTAATCAGAAGACTGTCATGCCAACAGACACATGCCCTAGCGCCAATCATTGAACCCGGAAGGTGTGAGAAAGAGGCATTGCTCTAACTCATGAGTGCTGGCCGGTTCCAGAATTAAGGACCAGCCGAAACTCGTCAGTCCTGAGGTCTTTCAGAAACTGGGTCAACAAAGGCCTACAAGCACAACCAGCTGGATACCAACACATAGGCTGCACCTAGGCTATCCTAGTTCGGCACCACCTCAAGCGACTGCTGGGAACACCCCCCAGCCGGAAATGGACGTGAGCTGGAAATGTACGTGTCGCAAGAACTAACGCTGCACAGCCCCCTCCCGTGATGAGCTGCAGATCAGAACAGGGTTGGGATCCGCCCACTTACCGGACTTGGCAGGGATTTGCATTGCCAGGTGACGCGCTGCGCTTCAAAACGGCAGACAGTGCATCGAGGCTCAAGGACCTCTTGGCTAAAGCTACTGTAGTTGCCGCTAATGAATTCCTCCGACTTCACCGGCTCTGACTTTAAGCCCTCTGGCCGAGTACTGCTGTCTAGACATAGGGTGACACGCAGGCCGTGTGCAGCCCGTACTCCTGCTTCGTGTAGATGGCGAACCATCCAGGATCGTTCCAAGCAGCAGTGGCAAAGCCAGACTCTCGGAAGTGGCCGGTCACAAACCTGTAATATTCGCGGACGAGGTCGGTGTCCCTCTCCGACTGGCGATCGTCCTGCCGGCCCACGCCATACTCTCCGACGTATACCGGGATCCCCGTATCGAAGACATAGTCGCGAAAGTCTCTGACGAGGTTGAGCAGCCCCTTTTTCATGGCCCCGATGGATCCGTAGTAGTGAAGATTGCCGTTTTCGCCGCAGAAGTCATAGGGGTCATACGTGTGCACGGTGATGCCCACACAGGCATCGTTTCCACCTCCGGGAAGAGACCACTTATCGGGGTACACTGACCTGGCAGTGGCTATGCTCGACATGGCATTCGGGTGCACGAAGATCATTCGGTTCTCGTGGCCGGGCACACGGCGCACAGCATCGACTCCCATACCATTGATCTCGCGGGTGCGGTCGATCGCATATTGTTCAGATGGATGTATAGGCTCGTTCCAGCCTCCAAAGTTCATGTGAGGCTCATTGAGAATCTCAAAGACAAGTTTAGTAGACCTGTTGGCGAAATGACCCGCGATGCCAGTCCACATGTTCCACCACTGGTCCTTGAGGTCCTGCCTAGCAGCATCATAGTGCTCCACCAGCCACTTCTCGTGATGGGAGTTGACGACCACGTAAAGTCCAAGCCCCAAGGCGTAGTCCACAACTTCGGTGACCCTCTTCGTGTGGTCGGAGTTGGCATCGAAGTAGCCATCCCATTTCACGGGAAGGCGGATGTGTTTGAATCCCGTGTCGTGGGCCCACTTGACCTGCTCCTTGACGACTTCCGGGTTCGTATCGCCCTGATCGAACTCATAAACGTTTCCAATGTTGATCCCGCGACCCATTCCTTCGATGACCCCGTCACAGTTGCCACGTCTGGTGTGATTCTGGACAGCGACATCCCGTTGGAATGAACCCATCTTAGAGTGTCCCTGGCTTGCAGCTTGCTTCTCAGTGTCCGAGCTCCCACCCTCAGCAGCAACATCGTTGTGGACCTGCGTCTGGATCAATGTCTCCGCATCAGAGTCGGCCTCGCAGTCATCGCCACTGCATGGAGTCGCTGCAAGCGCCACGGGGATCGCGATGGCGAGGATCTGCAAGAAATGTCGCATACTGTTGAGCTAGCAATGCAGCGACTACAGGACGAGATTGGCGTGGCTGGAGCCGGTGAGCCTGAGCCAAAGGGCTCCGGAGTTGCAGAGCTGTTCCACGAAATTGGGCTATAGAGTTCAGGATGGCAACTCTGCAGCGCATGCCGGCAAGAGATCGCCATTGAAATCGCCTCTCAAGTCCAGCTCTCCTCTCAAGTTCTCTCAAAGGTCAACCGACCTTCACGATGTCGTCATAGCCCGCAACAGATGAGGAATGCAGTGCCGTAATCTGAGCAGGGCTGTGGCTATGCGAACAGCCTCTCCGACGTATGCATATGTAGGGAAGCTTGCAACTACACATTGACATCTGAAGTGTGCCAAAGACCAACAGGTATCCTGCATGAGCAAACAGCCAGGGCTTCCGCCCCATTTTGGTCTTTGTGGTTGATGTCTGCCCGGCGTGCCGCCAGGAGTTCAACAACTTCTCGATGTCCCTGGGCACTGTCGGAGCATACTCAAGCCCAAAGAAATGGGGCACGCACTGGAGGAGTCCTGCCAGTCCCATCTCAACGGTGGTTTCAGCTAGACCGAGACGGGCGGTCAGTGCATTGCCTGGTGCGCCGCGTTCTGCATTGCTGAACGCGAGTCACGAGTCACGGCGTTGATGTTGGCCTGCATGCAGTGCGCTCCACAAACGCTGTGATTTGTTCAGGACCCCCCCTACTCACAGAAGCGAAGCATGATTCAGAAATTTCCGTCCGTGCAATGTGGCCCTCTGGCGCATAGCAGGATTCTACCAAGTCTGCCTACTGCGCCGTGCCTTCAGATCCAGCAGCATCTCGCACACATGTGCATGGCCATTCCGTGCTGCTTGATGCAGCGGTGTCAAACCGAATGTCGTCTTCACCTGCCCAGCATGAGGAAAATCTGGAGCTTGCAGCAGGAGCTTAAGCCATCGACCAGTTTAGCGTTCAGGGTGCTGCAAGGCTCTCAAGATCCCCCACCCACCAACCCCCAACCCCAGCCCCACCCACATACACAAACGCACGCGCACGCACGCACGCACTGACGCACTGACGCACTGACGTACTGACGCACTGACGCACTGACGCACGCACGCACCCACCCACCCACCCACCGACACCCATATATACACACACACACACCTCTCGACCGAGACCCGGAGCCCTCAACCCCGTGCCAATCCATGGCCTCTAGCTTGGCTTTGCGGCGCACCAGTGATGCCACGGAGTCTGCATGTCCGAAGTAGGCAGCGCAGTGCAGCAAATGCCAAGGAACCATACGTGTACCTCGGATTGTCCAGGCAAGGCAGAATCTGGCTAGTCCAGAAGCACTGGTCTCAACAGCCTTAGGTTTGTTGCTTCGGTTCGGGCACCATGGTGCTTGAAGGAAGCCGTGGCGGAAAGACCAACCTATGAGGCCGTGTGAGTACTGCACAGGCAGCATACCGGCAACAACAGGAGGAACCAACACACGCACAAAAGGAACCAAAACTATGCCTGCAATCATCGTAACAGTACGCACGGGTTAACAGCTAACAGCCTCAAACTACCAGTAGTAGCAGGCATCGGCGTCTTCGTAATAGTAGTGGTAGTGATAGCGGCGGCGGCCGTGATGGGGGGGTTTGATTTGGGCGGTGGTGGAGGTGGTGGCGGTGGTGGTATTAGTAGTAGTAGTAGTAGTAGTAGTCGTCGTCGTCGTCGTCATCGTCGTTGTAGTAGTAGCAGGAGGAGGAGGCTGAGGAGTGGCAGCAGGAGTGATAGTAGCACCAGCGGCCAGCATATAGCAGCAGTAGCAGCCGCAGCAACAGCAACCTGCCTAGCAGTAGCACTGGCAACGAGTCCGCAGCTAAGGGACAAGTGCACAATGGCACGAACAAGCTACATACCTTACACGAAACCCACACATCAGCACTCAAGCATATCAGAACTTCTTTCTGTTCAAGGCCCTCAGGTCTGGCACACTAACACTAACAATTCAGAATGTACAGTTGCAGTAGCAGCAGCAGCAGTAGCAGTAGCAGTAGCAGTAGCAGTAGCAGTAGCAGTAGCAGTAGCAGTAGGAGTAGTAGTAGTAGTAGTAGCAGCAGTAGCAGAAGAAGTAGTAGTGGTAGTAGTAGTAGTGGTGGTAGTAGTAGTAGTAGCAGCAGCAGCAGCAGTAGCATTCTGTAGCTGCTGCAGCTGCTGCTGCTGCTCACCCAACTAGCACGCCTGCGGCAGCTCCACGGGGCAAAACGGAGGAATAGGCGCGACTGTTATTTACAGAATCGTTTTTTGTTCGTCTAGTGGCCACTTTGCACTTGCACCTGTTCCTGGCAGACGTCGACCTTCCACTCCTCGAAAGCTATCGGGTTGCAAGGACGAGGGAATACTTGGGTTGACATTGCTGCGAGAAGGGTTGTATAACTTGGTTTGATTTTCGTTTAAAGCTTTGACATCTTGTCCTCAAATGCAAGGCGCAGCGCCCAAGTAAGCTATGCAATACATTCAAGGCCTCACTCACGGAGACACATGCACACACACACACACACGCACTCTGAGAAAACATCTATGCTCATCTGTGGCTTGAAATTAGCAAAATCCAATCATTTAGCAAACTGCTACACAACATAAACTAACATGAAACAACATAATAACATCATTGCACTAAACTATACTATAGCAATATACTGTGCTAACATACTCTAGTTTGCGATAACATACTTTACATGATAACATGACAAACATATTATTATAACACAATACCTTACTACACGATGTGACATAATATATTACATGTAGTAGAAATATAACATAATGTAATATAATTTAGTCATATAGTCCTAATCTACCCTGATATTATGCGGAAACAAACAAACAAATAAATAGAGAGCGACACATGTACGTGTCTACACATATATATATAATATATATATATATATGGAGAGAGAGAGAGAG